GGAGAAGACGTGGGTTCGTAACTATCCCAAAGGTATTTGCACGTACATGAACCCAACTGGAATTGGAACTCAGCTCTCTGATCACCAATTCCGAGACATTATCTGCTACATATCCATAGAAGTCTCCCATAATGTTTTCGATATATATTCCTTTCTAGCCAGAACGTTCTAAAAATTCTTGAAACACTTAGAAACTTCTGGAAAGTTCTTGAAACTTCTAGAAAGATCTAGAAAATTCTCCTTCCTCGGCTCAGCGCTGAATCTGTCCGGAATGTAATAGAAAATAGATTAGTTTAAAAACATCGATGTTTAGGATAGAAAAGCAAAGTTTAAAGGGAATAATAGTCATTTTCTCTGTTTTCTAGACAGAAGTAATAAGGAAATAATATTTCTTGACCAAAGACCAAAAAATTTCAAAATGTTCCTTTTATTAATGATACTATAAACTGCTTCCCCACCTTCTTTTGTAGGCATTTACTAAACTTAATTTAGTTTTGAGTACAAGACTACAAGCATGGGACACACAGTAAGGCTCGAAATATCTACTTGGTAGTAACGATCTACGAGACGAGCTTGCTACACATTACACCATAAGGAGGCACCATACATAACTTTTTATTCGAACTGGACAAAATGTACTTGTTGCTATTAGAATTTCAAGAATATATGACATCTGGTTACCTATTCTGTCAGTAACACTTAGATTATTTTGTAACCACTGACAATCATTTTGTTTCTGATTTTCAATCTATTTCTATAGTAAAAACATTAACAACGCATTTCTATAGTAAAACCATTAACAACGCATTTGCGCTACACAAGTTAAAGATGTTAAGCCTATTTATACATCAAAATTGCAATATGAGAACTGGTAAAAAAATGATTGCTGATGACATTAGGTTTCTAATACCCAGAAATTCACACACAGCTGTCCTCAAGAACACATGGCACAGTGGATAAAGGCGTTTGTTATATCCAGTGACAGAACCCAAAGAGTGTGAGTTCAATACCTGGTTAAGACGGTGGAGAACTTGGAGAGGGAAATTAACAGGAAATAACTGACATCCATTAGACATGACACGTGGAACTAGAACAGTCTACCCCAGTGACCGAAATTCAGTTCGACATTCCACCCACCTGAAGAAGGGCGAAGCGTACAACGGCCGAAGCGTTGTAATAAATATGGCGAATAATAGTCCGAATAATATGAAAAGGCACATAATACCTCATCTCAGAAATATAGACAGTTACTAAACAACATTGGGGTTTTTTCTAGACAGTTGTTAAAGGCTTCTTGATCAAGCCGATAACTTTTAAGCAACTTTTCCTATGATACTAATATTATGTCAGTAACAATTTCCTTAATTCCTGACCGCTAGCTGTCCAGCTTTTTTCATAATTTTAATGCATTTCTATAGCAAAATCATTCACAGTACTATAACCACATTTTGTCAGAAATATTTGTATTAATTCTTGAAAATCGCCGAGTACTTTCGACATAGCACAATGTCATCATCAGGTTGTTGTTTATTCCAAGACAAATATTTTAGTATCCATTTTCAAAATTTATAGGTACAGGAATTTATGCTGATAGGTTTCTTTAGTATTGTGATATAGTGTATTTATTGACCTATGGGCACATTTCTGGGTCCGACTTTTAGCAATTTCTATATGTCTAATCTTCAAAATAATATATTTAAAATTTATAAAAAAAACACTCCAACCTAAGATAAGTCGATGATATCCTTATATAAATCCAGAATACGGAAGAGATATATAAACTCCAAAAACAATTACAAGATAATTCTGAACTAAATAATAGCAACAAAATTCCTTTTCTAGATATAATGATAAACACTAATAACAACAAATTCACAATATCTCCCTATATAAATATCCTACCAGCATAAATTCGCGGACACTTAACTATAAGAGTGAATGTCCACATAACTCTGAAATAGCTAATGAACCCTAATGAACCGGGCAAAAATTAATTAATCCACAAAACAGATTTTCTACAGAGAAAGAAAAAATATAAAACAAATTCTCATTAATAATAATTCCTTTAATTATTGTGGATGAACAAATAAAATATTCTATCAGAAATTTTAATACTAAGCAAATAGAATATAATCTTTTCTCAACTAACCTCAAATATATTAATCTTTTAAATCGCAACCAAATACATTCTAATTAGAAACAAGACGAAAGTATGCTAAAAAATATCTAAAATATATCCACCACAGATCCTAGTAAAAAATTAAAATAGATTATGTACTACACGAAATTTACTATAACTAATTCACTCATTCGACTCTTCCCCACCTACAGAAAACCAACATGTCCCCTGGGAGATTGTATCTCAAACGAGAAAAATATTATTTATGCTAGACACACTAGGACAACATTGTCTTGGCGGCTGAGTTTTCATTTGAATGATATATCCAAATTTATAAATATTTGCAACAGCATACCTGCCCACATTTGCAATTCAGAAAAATTCTGGTTGAAAATACGTATATACTTTTTCATGACAATGATAAACATAAACTAAACATTCTTGAAGATATCTATATTAAAAAATTGAAACTAAATCTTAATAAAAATTAGTTATGAATACTGCAAAAATGTTTTAAAATGTGTACAATAGATAGTTTAAAATATTAAGGTTTACACAGTTTTAATACTTAATTCTTAAAAGCACTCGACACACCATACTTAATTACCTCCCCTATAACAGTGTCAAGCGATCATGTACTCAGTCAGCGTTCTTCATTTCTCATGTAAAAAAATTAACTTTCAGATGAACACAGAAATTTTGTTTTTGAAAATAATGAGCACTACAATATTTGTCTTGAAATAAACAACACCCTGATGATGATATTGTGCTATGCCGAAAGTACTCGGGATAAAATAATATATACCAACACGGCGATTTTCTCTCTTCCTTTAATAATGACACCAAAAAACTTGTCCGTGAATATGAATGGATTCAATTGAAAATAAGTACAAAAAACTTGTCTAAATTATTCAATGAAATATGTCTCAATGAAAACATGCTGACAAAATATGCGCCATCTATCTATCTCTATCTCTATCGCTCTCTCTCTCTCTCTCTCTCTCTATATATATATATATATATATATATATATATATATATATATATATATGGTAACCCAAAAATGGGAATTTTTTGAAGTGCATATTGCCAGACATGAGCAAGTGGCAACACTGCAAGACAGTGACCTTGAGCAAGTAAACATTTCGCCATTTAGAATTCAAGATGAAATTCACAGTATCCCAGCTGAGATGTTGCAGTTGTCAATGAAGAATCTCAACAGCAGATTTCAAGAATGCATTCGTACAGAAGGACGCCATCTACAAGACGTAATTTTTAAAAAGTTAAAATTCCATCATTGTTTCTTAAATGGCATGTTTTAAGGTTTCAATTACTCAATTTCCTGTTTTTTGGGTCACCCTGTATATGAATTTTTAAAACTGTAAATTATTTCATGAAGATTTTATTTTAGTTTTACTTTCAAGCTGATGGATTAAATTTAGTATTTCTAGTGAGCAAAATACTTTGCTGTATTTCAAAACTAATTTAAATTTACTTAAAAGGGATTTTGTTTTGAAATCGCTAAATTCGCTGATTTACCTCAATATAATTCTCTTTATTACATAAATCTTTCAAAATAAGATATACTTTCCTGAAACTCTATTTGAGGAATATTAGCTGATTAAAAATTTAATTAATCTGATTTGAAAAATATTACTTTAAGTTTAAAATATCACAGAAATGCATTTTTAGTACGACGGTAGGTGTTTACTTAAGGTGTTGACTGTCAGACGCTAGCTTATCTAAAAAATTTTCTACGGTGGATATATCTGTAAAAATTACTTTAAGAATATAATGTGAGCCCCTTCTTTATATAATATTTAACTAGCAAGTAAGCTTAAAAATTTTTAAAATATTCTTCGAAATCCAATGTTTTATTGAATTTTAGATACTTTATCTTTAAATTTAATATAGTTATTGCTCTTATTTTCTTATCATGTCGTGTATGGACGTCCGTATTTACAAAAATCGGCACGTTTATACACACACCAAAACAAATTCAAAATTCTTTTTAAAATATTGGGTTGGCCGCTGAATTTTAGTCAATTTTTCGATTTATTAATAAATATAGTTTTTTCTTAAGAACAAAATCACCTAACCCGTACAAATTAATATAAAAGGTTTGAAGAGTTTTATAATTATTCTAATTAAAATTTTGAAAATATGAAAACAATTCATGTAAAAATTCATTATTCATCGAAATATTTTTTTCTTAAGACAATAGTTTCCATAATATATCTTATTCATAAAAGCAATTAAAAACTTTTGTATTTAAATAATGTCTTTGTTTTATTACATTTTTTTATTTTACGATTCAGAGCAGATTTTTGGTAACTGCGGTTCCCGTTTTACAAAAAAAAATTGATGATTTAAATTCTCCAAGGAGTTCTATGTATAATTAATATAAGCATTAACCGGTACAAAAATTAATTTTCTCGAAATTTCGTAAAATAAAATAAGTGAGGGGTGTAACAGATGTAAAAATATATATATATATATATTTGCGAAAACCAGTAATAATAATAGCACCTAGCTGAGAGGTGTGGAAATTATAGACTGCAAAAATGATGATCACTTTTAGAATCATTAAACATGGATAATCGTTTCAAAAACCTTTGGAGTGATATCGGTGTACTCATAATTCCAAGGATGAATTGAACTAATGCAGATTAAATTTAAGAACAACACTGGCGGGGGAGGGGGAGACTTGCTGTCGATTGGTCCACAACGATGTCTACCAAATAACACTGATGGGATAAGACACTACTGATAACCTTGATCCTTTAAAATAATCTCCGTTAACAATATCCACTTCCTCACTATCCTTACAAGTAATCTAATGTTAAAATACTCGAAGAACACCCACTGTTGATATGTCGGT